CGTCTCCACCCCCGGGCAGGGACTCTGCGGGATCACCACCCCGTGCCCCAGAACCACGCTGGCCCATGGTGGGAGCTCAGCGGATGTTTGCAAACTGACTAAACGAACGTGCTGGACTCCGGACCTTGGGTGAGGTGCCCTGCAGCCGTCAGCCACTCCAGGTGAGCCTGGGGAGTCACCGGTCAGACAGGCGAGAGGAGGTGATTCACCCCAAATCTCCCTTCCCCGTGACATTTCCCTGTGCGAAGGCGGGCGCTAACGAAAAACCAAACCCAGCCACAGCACGGCCTCCGCGGGGGAAGAAAACAGCCCAGAGGTGTAATGTCTGCTGCAAAGAGCTGAATCCTTCAGGCCAAAACAAGCAGCCCCCGACCGCGATAATTCCGAGTTATCCGTTCTTTATTACGATTCGTGGCCTTGGCTTCAGAGCATCTCCTGGGAGTTCTTTCTGTGGGGGCAATTTCGGTGCCTGCAATTAGCTGAACAGGCGTCTTTTGTCCCCGCTGAAGCACTCGTCTGCAGGTGTAATTAGGTTCCCTCACCCTGAAATCTGCCGAGCGCCGCCCGCCTTGACTGCGGGCACCCACAATTAAGCGCTCACGGGCACGCGGCCGGAGCCAGCCAACACGCGCACACAGCTAACAGCCGGGGCACCGGGCGGCCTCCCCGAAATAGACGCAGTGTTGGAGAAATCCAGCCTTTCTGCATTTGTTGTTCAAACGGCTCTGTCCAGCTGGGAATAATGAGAAAAGACAAACACGCCAATTAGGCGAGGTCCATACGTAAATAAACCACACAGCTCCTTAATTAAGCCACTTACAGGAGTGGGCACGGCCGGGAGGAGAAGGGGGAAGGAGAGGTGGGGGCACCCGGCCGTGAGGAGCGCCGATCCCGGATCGGCCATGGTGGCGGAGCCAGGTGGGGGGCCACGGTCCATCAGTGTGGGGCGTGGGCCGCTTCAGCCAGGGGACTCCGTGGCTATGGGGGCAGCCGGGGGCTGCAGGAGGACGAGTGGGGATGGGCGGGGGTCTCCAGACGTCCCCCCAGGGTGAGCGGGAGGTTGGTTAGGGGAGGAAGTGAAGGTGGCTTCAGCCTGCGTCCTGGACGGTGCCATGGGACCGAGCCTGCCTCCTTTGTCCTTCTCCAGGAGCCGGCTCGGCCCGGCACATGACCTCTTCCTTGCAAACAGCCACATCTGCTCGCTCCCCTTCTCCTCCTACCCCCGGGGCCTCAGAAGGGTGGGAAGTCCAAAATCAAGTCACGGGCCAGCTCCCAAAGCCGGCGCCCTCCATGGAGACCCAGGCCCTCGCCGAGCCTCTCCAGCTGCAAACCAGGCTATGGGGACCCAGATAAAGGACACACGTGGCCAGGGACGAGGCCGGTGTATGCCAGGAGGTAAACGGCCGTCAGGGACCATGGGTAATTCTGCATCTCGGCCCCCCCCCCCCCCCCCCCCCACACACTGTCTAACCTCGCCACCACGCTGCTGTATTGTTCCCGAACAATAAAACCCAGCAGATTACAGCGGCTGCAATCAGGCGCAGGAGCCAAGCCCGCCACTGCCCCAGCAGAGCCACGGAAAGCGCTCCGTCCGCTGCAGGGCTGAGCAGGCCCTGCTGGAAAGCAAAGGGCAGAAGCAATATTTAGATAATTAAAAACCTACTACTGACGGGCCAGCCAGGTGACCACAGGTGGCTTCAGGGTGGACCAGCAACAGCTCAGAAAGGTCAGCAAGCCTTCTCTCCTGCCCTGCCGGCTACAGCTGAGGGAGAGGAGAGGCCTGGGAGGCAGGCAGGTGACCACTGGGAAATTCTCCCCAGAGAGGAATCCAGCTCCAGCCTGGGATTCTGGCTCCCTGGTCCCCAGAAGACCTGACCCAACCCCCACGGCTCTGTGTCACGTCTACTCCAGCCACACCTGCCTCACCAGGCCTCTTCCTGCCTCAGGGCCTTTGCACTGGCTGTCCCCGCAACTCTCTTCCCCAGTATCTACACAGCTCCCTCCATTTGGGTCTGTGTTCAAACATCACCTCCTCAGGAAGGCCCACCTGGACTATTCCATCAAAAGCAGCTTCACATAGCCCTCGCCTGTCACCCAATCTCTGGCTCTATTATGGGGGTTCTGTAGCACTGAATCTCTGGATTTTCACCTGGCATTTTCTTGTCTCATTTGTCTTTCTCTAATGGGGCTCCATCGGGTTTCTCACCACCAGGTCAGTGGTGCCCAGCAGGGTGGCAGGTGGCTCCGGAAGCTTCCCAGGAGTAGGGGGTCCCTGCTCCATGGGAGCAGGGGTTGGAAGGCATCGCTGGCCATAGCCGTGCCCCAGCTTTCAGGCCCCGGGCAGCACGGGTGGCCACAGGTCGGCTGGCCGGGCAGCCTTGTCTCCTCACAGCCTGTGGATTTTTAAAGCTTGACTTGGCACCGGCCTCGCTCCCCATCTGCCCTCCTCCTGCCCCTCCTTCCAGCAGATGCCCCTGAAAATCAAAATCAAGGTGGCTCCTCTTACAGCGGCCAAATCTGGCTCATCTGCCTTCACGGGGACACTGGTGGCGGGAGCACTGCCGCGGGTACGGGCCCTGGGTCTTCCGATGAGCTCTGCCTGGAGCTGCTGGCGGAGCCGCTGACCAGCAGGCGCGGCTTCCATCCCCTCCTCCATCCCCACCTCTGCGTCACGGGCCCTTCACGGGCCCTTCCCGGGCAGGGGACGGGCGAAGGCCCGGGCCGCCCCCCCTGTAGGGATGTGGCCCGTTGGCCGGAGGGCAACAGATGCTTCAGGCCTCCCCCATCAGTCTCCCCTTCTCCAACCTCCCAGGGCTTGTGCCCCACGCACGGCACGGTCCGTCCCTCACCGGCCCCGCCATGTGGCTCAAGTTCCTGAGTTGCAACCAATGCACGGTCCTGACAGTGGCCGTCCCTCTGCCTGCTCGGGGGCCAAGACCGCCCTGCTGCTTCTCCCTGGAGGTCCCGAAGCCCCTACCCTCCCTGTCGAGCCCCGCTCCCCCCAGCCCCTGCGGGGTTGTGTCAGGCTACTTCTTCAGCAAAGGGACAGGTAAGACAGCCACGGCCGGCCAGGCAGCCTCCTGGGGGGTAGGAGCCAGCCTGGGTCCAAACGCCCCCCGACTCACGGCCGTGACCTCGCTGTCCCTCAGATTCCTGCGGACACTGAGTGTGGACGAGGGAGCCATCCCCTGGGAAGTGTGGGACATTCTGGGCCCCGGTGAGGCTCACACATTCCTGTACCTAGGGTGTGTGGCTAATGGCTAATGTCCCCGTGTCACAGGTGCCTGCCCAAGGTCGCACAAGGAGGGGACCACAGAGGCACACCTTCAGCAAGTGGCAGGCACCCTGGAGAGCCCCCTCCCCAGGATGGGGTGGCCCGGGCCCCGGGGCTTCAGGAAGGGGCCAGCCTCTTCCCGCCCCGTGCCGCAGCTCCACGCTCAGGAAACCACGGAGGGTCTGCTTCTCCTTTTCTGAAGCAGCTCCCATCTCACCCTGAGCCAAGGCCACTTCCCTAAAGGAAACGAGCCCGCGAGGCCCCACGGGGAGCTCAGGGCCTCCCGGCCTCCAGCCAAACCCACGGAAGCTTGGCTGGTGACCAGGCCAGGTCCTCCTCATCCTCAGGCAGTGCCGGGCTCCCTCCTTGGGACACTTCCCTCTTTGAGGAGAGTCCCCTCTGAGTCCCTTGAATCTTTTTCTCATGGCCCTTAGTGTCTGTGCTGTCAGGATCCCCTCTTGCAGCCACTGTCCCGATGCCCCAGCCCTTACTGCATCTTCCAGCTTTGAATCCCAAAGCCTAGGCCTGGGGCCTGGTATACAGCAGGTAACCAATGAATGCTTGCCTGGTATACAGCAGGTGCTCAATGAATGCACCTCAGGAGACCAGAGACTACAGGAGACAGAGGCAGGGCTGGGCCCTTGAGGCCCACATCTAAGGGAATTTGGAAAGCTGATCCTCAGGCCCCATAGTAACCACATTACCTTGGAGCCACTTGGGGGTGGGGAGTGAACAATTGGTTCCTCAGAGGCCCCAGGCGAGGGGGTGATTTGTTTTGGCCTCTCAGCCCTGTGCTTGGAGGCTTGGAGCCGGGGTCTTGACCACATGCGGATCCAGATTAGCCAGGGTCCCACCCACTTCTGCTTTCACTGGGTGTCACCCCAAACCACCCAGCCTTCCTCTTATCAGCAGGCTGTCACGCCCAGAGGGCTGTGGGTGGCTTTGTGTTCTGATCCTTCCCTCCAGGGAGCGAGCCCTGATAAGGAGATGACCTTTACCCTCTGCTGCTCGTCTGCAAAGCTTCCTCATCAGCAGAGGGATGGGGCCTGGGGCTGCCAGAGATAATCCCACCCACCCGGCCCAGCGAGGGCAGGTTCCGCACTGGGGAGACTCTCACCCCCGAAGACCTCGCTGCTGTGGCCCCAGGCGGCAGCGGGTGTGGTGGAGCCGGGCCTGGCAGCTGGTGGCCTCGCCAGGAAGCCCTGTTTGCACAGCCAGCTCGCTTGCTGGTCATGGTCTCGGCCCGGTCCAGCAGGCCAGGCGCCACGGGCGAGCCTTGCTCTCGATGCTCCCGCGCTTGTGCTGGCCCTGTCACATCTCAGCTGCAGGCTCTGCTCCTCGAGGCAGAGCCCGGAGCCGCTCGGGGCCGGGGCCAGGCCTCCCCCGTGTCGGGGTCCAGCATCAAGGAGAAGCCGGTCCAGGATCTGCTGGAGGAGGGCGGGCTGTGCGCAGGGTGACAGCCCAGCACTGCCAGCTCTGAGAACAGAGACACCTGGCTCTCCAGGTCACGGTCCCTAACTCTGCCTTCACAGAACGGCCCCGAGTGTCTGCCCATCAGAAAAAAGAGCAGAGCGACGACCGTGCCGAGTCCCACAAAGGGACGTCACTCAGCAGGAAAAGGAACAAACGACGGGCACGTGGCAGCCTGGATGAGAGAAGGGCACACGCTGTGTGAGTCCTTCACACGAAGCTCCCAGCAGACAAACCCCCCAGGACAGACCAAAGGACGAGGGCAGGGACCCCGAGAGACAATCGCACGCCCGTGTCCACAGCAGCACCGTGCACAACGTCAACACGGGGAAGCCACGTGAGTGTCCACGGACAGACGAATGGATACGCCCAACGTGGTCCATCCACACGCCGCAATATGATTCTGCCTTAAAAAGGAAGAAATCACTGACACCTGCTCCAACACGGGGACCCCTGAGGACACTAGGCTGAGTGAAAAAAGCCACAAAAGGACAAACACTGTAGGATTCCACTCATAGGAGTGACCTGGAGGAGTCATGTTCACAGAGACAGAAAGCAGGACGGCGGGCGCCAGGGGCTGGGGAGGGCATGGGGGGCGCCGAGTGGGGACGGAGTCTCAGTTTGGGAAGATGGAAAAGTTCTGGAGATGGATGGTGCGGATGGTCACACAACATGGATGTACTTAACGCCACTGAATTGTACACTTAAAAATGGTTGAGATGCTAAATTTTACGTTTTTTTGTATTTTACTGCAATTTGAAAAGAAGAAAAAGAAAAAGGAAAAAAAAAAAACCTAACCCAGAGGGATGGGAAGCAGTCAGCAGTCCCCTGGCTGTGGGGGAGAGGGCCCGGAGGGCGCACCTGGGGAGGAACTTTCCAGAGTGACAGCCTTGTTCTCTCCCTGGATTGGGGTGATGCAGACGTACACCTGCGTCAAAAGCCAACGAGAAAACTCTTAAAACGGCTGCGTTTTATTGAACACAAACGACCCCTCAATAAAGTCGATTTTAAAAGTTATAAAAAAGCCCCAACTTTGAACACTCATATCTCCGTTTATTAAGTTTCTATGTCTTATACATTAACGACCTCTCTATGCAAAAAGAGATTCTTAAGAGACAGAGAGGGGGCCGGCCCCGTGGCCAAAGGGTTGAGTTCACGCGCTCCACTTCGGCGGCCGGGGTTTCGCAGGTTCGGATCCCGGGCGCGGACACGGCACCGCTCCTCAGGCCACACGGAGGTGGCGTCCCACACAGCACAACCAGAGGCGCTCACAACCAGAATATACAACTGTGTACGGGGGGAGAAGAAGGAAAAAAAAAGAAGATTGGCCACAGATATTAGGTCAGGTGCCAATCTTTAAAAAAAAAAGAAAAATAGAGTTCTAGCACATTCTTCCTGTGTGGAAGGGTTGCTGTGTCCCCCACTTTGCAGGACAGCGTCAAGGCAGTCTGTGGGAGATGCCCAGTGTTGGAGAGCTGGATGAGAGAGAAGTGGGGGTGAGGACGATGGAGGGGCGCATGGCGAACATTCTGGGAGAACCGCAGGCCGTGTGGTCTGCGATGGGAACCACGACCGCGAGGCCACGGGCACACAACTTGCAGGGGAGACCAGTCCTGGGCCACGCAGCCCTCCTCTCTCCACCCCACACGTATAGGAACACATGTGGCATCTCCCCAAACCCCACGTGGCAGGGGAGCCAGAATTCTCAGAGTCCAGGGTCCCCGACCGGGGTGCACCCTATGTTCCCGCGGGCTCAGCCCCTCCCCAGGGTCACAGCTGGCGGCAACGGTGCGGTGGGGGAAGTCCCAGAAGGGGGGTGGGCGGCGGGGGGCGAGCCCCACTTCAAGAGGTGGGGTGGGGGGGTTGTGATGAGGAATGAGGGGTCTGGAGCAAGAGGACCCGGGCTCAAATCCGGTTCTACCATTGTGTGGCCTTGGGCAATCCCTCCGTGCCTCAGTTTCCCCATCGATAAAGCGGGGATGCTGCTGCTCCCTCATGGGGTGGTCGTGAGAGCGGAAAGCTGTATCTGAAGCCCTCGGAGCCAACGGCACGCTCACCGCTGGTTGCTGTCATTTTCCTCTGGAGCCCGTCTCCGGCCTCCGCCCACCCCACCCCAGCCCTTTCTCCCCCAGGCTCCAGGGGTCCCCCGCGGAGGGACGAGGTCTCGGCCAAGCTCTCTGCAGCCTGAGTTCAAGTCCACGGGCGGGTCTGTGTTTATCTTTAAGTTGTCCTTTTCCGGCCCTGGCCCAGCACCTGGCGCCTCCCCGGGCCCATTGTCTCAGGACGCAGGGCCATCCGGTCTGTCCTGGGGGGGAACAGTGAGCCCCTGCCCCCGTTTCCTTACCGCAGCCTGGACTGCAAGTCCCAGACCAGCCCTTGGCCGAATAAACACGAGCCCACACAAAAGGTCCCGCGTGGCTGCGAAGTGAGGGACGGTGAGAGGGTGGAAGGGGCAGGTGGGGTCATAGCTCCCAGGGCATCCTGCTTCAGACACCAGCGGGTGCCCCCCAGGTTCAGGGGTGCCCCCACCTCACCAGCCCTTGGGTGCCAGGAGTTGGAGCCCACCCAGAATGGGTCTTTTAGCAGAACCTTCCAGAACATTCCTTTCTCGCTCTCCCACCCAGACCTACTGAAGGCCTCTGAAGTCCCCTGAGCACGCTGGCTGCTCCATTCTCGCAACGTCTGGGGTCAGTCTGTGCCCGTCTGTGCGTGACAACCAGGGCCTGTGTCACACAGGGGCCGCCCACTGCCCGGGGGAGAAGCAGACGGGGACAGAAGCCGTCAGCTCCCCACTCACAGCCCCTGGACAACTCAGCCCTGCTCCGAGGTGGCCCATGGTGCGCTGGCGCTCCGCCCCAGGACTGTGGGGACAATGGAGGAGCATCCCCCACCATCCCCTGGGGGCCTTGGCAAGGCCGAGCTCTGGCTGCCCACACCGGGGCTCGATGACGCCCCGGCTGTCAGTTCCTTCCCTTCCCACCTTCTGTCTCTACTGGTGTCTCCTGGGACCTCGTCACCTGACCCAAGTCCTGAATCCGGGCGCGCAAACTCCGCCAGAGGCAAGTGGTGCCCCCTGCATCGCTGCGTGGGGGTCAGCGGGGGTGACAAACCCAGGGACGGTTCATGCCCTCCAGACCCTGGAGAGGCAGCCAGAACCACAGAAGGGAGGGGCTGGGTCTCGGCCCGGGCACAGACAGACCCCCTGGCCTCCCCGTGCCTCCCACGGTTCGGGCGCTTTGTCTCCAGTTGGACCCAACTCCCCCCACAGAATCGCGTGGCGCTGGCTGAAACTGTTTCCCCCGCATTCGATCCATTAGTGGGAACTCAGATCCACCGGCTGGCTGCTGCCTGAGGCTTCAGGTAGCAATTTTCCATTTGTGTTTCAAATTTTAATGAACGTGCCTGTCCCCTGGGCCCAGGACGTGGGGCTGAAATCCTCACGGGGCGGGTCGTGGGCGTGCCACCCGAGGCGGGGGCTCCTATGAGATTTCCCTTGGGAGCTTGATTTCTCTGGGGAACAGCTCCTATGAAAAATGGTCCTCCCCACAGCCTCCCCGGCCCCTCCACCGGCCCTCCCTGCTGGCTCGGTGTCAAGCAGGCTGCAAATGTAAGATTATTATTTCTTTCCGACATCCCCAAAGTATCCTGTATCCCAAGATGGAGAGTAAAGTTCAGCTCTGATAAGATTGCATCATGGGGAGGGGACACACTCCTGCCCTTGCTCCCTGTGCCTCCGGCTAACATAATTCCTTTCTGATCTTACCCAGGGCATCCAGGCAGGCTGGGAGGCACAAGGGATAATCCATTTTAGAGAGATTGATCAATATCGTTAGGAGCCTTTTAAATGGTTCCACAGGCTTCAAGGAGCCAAGGCAGACGGCCGAGCTGGAAATTGGGGGGCTGGGGGGTGACAGGAGGGCAGGCGCTACCCTTGGGGATTTCCTGATAGTCCTATCATTTCCTACCAGACTTCAGGAGCTGGTTCCAATCGGGGCAGGGAGGCTGGGTACACGTGCACGGGTCGTGCACTGCATAAGGGGCTGGGCCAAGGGGACTAGCAGGCTGAAGTCTAGCAGCTCCTGCACCCTGGATGCAGGTACCTGGAGCGAAAAGGAGACACGTGCCCCTCCCAGCATGAGCAGGGGCTGCTCAGCTCCCACGACAGGTGCCAAGGGGGAAGCAGACCCAGTGAAAACAGCTTCAGACTTTTTAGAGAAGCCAGGAATCTGGGGTTTAAAAATAAATCTCCAGGTTTTTAAATATTGGCAATAAATTTTAAAAAATAAGTAAAAAACTGTGTGGGGACCAAGTGAAACAGAGCTGCAGGCCAAACACTGAGCCATCCAAGGTCTCCCAGCCACACCCCCCCCCGAGGCCCTGCCCCCTCCTGGCCCTGCAGTCCACCTGCCGCCCAGCCGCCCAGTAGCCCGAGCCCTCTGCTCTCAGATCCCCAGCACCACCCAGCCTCCGGCAGCCCCTCCTTCAACTGCATCTGGAATTGGACTTCACTGGCCCTGTCCTCCCTCGCCCGGACTGGTGCAGTACCTCCTCACGGGCCTCCTGCTGCCCCCTGCGCCCCCTGCAGTCTCTTCTCGGTACAGCAACCTGAGGAGCCTGTTAACCAAAGGCAGATGCTCATGCCTCTCACACAGAACCCTCCATGGCTCCCATCTCACTCTGAGGAAAAGCCAAGCCCTGATAACACCCTCTGGGATCTGTGCTATCGGCCCCCAACCACCCCTCTCTCCCTTGCTGGCCTCCTGGCTGTCACGCCTGCCCCAGGGCCTTTGCACTAGCCCTTCCCGAGCAGCCTGTGTACCTCCTGGGCCAGACATCCAGACCACCATGAAGAGGCTCTATTAACAATCACGCTGGAGCAAAAGGCATGAACCGGCACTCCCTCGGCCAACAGGGCGTCCTGTCTCTTCCGTTTCTTCCTTGCTCTGCTAAAGGGCAGCAGAGAGGCCTCCCCTGATGGCCCCATGAAAACCAGCAACCCTGCCTGCGGCTGGAGCCCCCTCACCCTCTCACACTTCTCCATGTTGCTTTCACCATTGACCCTCACATGCACACACGTTTTTCTATTTCTCGTCTGTGGCCTTGAGTGGACTGCAAGCTGCGTGGAGCAGGGATTTCCGTCTGGCTGGCTCTCTGACTGCCGTGTGCTGAGGCTGGACCAGCACCGAGTGGACAAATGTCTCTCCGTGCCTTCAGGGTCCCTGCAAGCTGCTCTGCCTGACGTTCAAGGCCCCTCACATCCCGACCCATCTCTCCAGCAACATCCTCGACTCTCCCTCAGGGATGAACTAAACTCAGCATATTCAGCACAACTTTATGCACGTGCTCTTCTCTGTTTTCCCGGAATGCCCTACTCCTCCCCATC